TCATATCTGTTATTAACCTCTGTCTCTCTTCCACAGCATGTCTTTATCCTGTCTTCCTTCTCTCACCCCAACCAATCACAGCAGATGGCCCCGCCCCTCCCCGAGCCTGGATCTGCTGGAGGTTTCTTCCTGTTAAAAGGGAGTTTTTCCTTCCCACTGTCGCCAAAGTGCTTGCTCATTTTTGTTTGCTCATAGGGGCATATGATTGTTGGGTTTTTCTCTGTACGTACTATTGCATGCAGAGTCTACCTTACAATATAAAATGCCTTGATGCGACTATTGTTGTGATTTGGCACTATATAAATAATATTGAATTGAATTGAATGTCCACAATTACCTGCAAAAAGTAGGTCAGTCTTCGTACTGGCCAAACCGCTCCGCAGAGCGATGTCCTCTGCTCGTTACCTGAGCTTTACAAGAACAGTCACGTATGAATGCTGTTTGTTAGTTGATCATCCCCCAGGAGGTGGTGAAAAAACTGACCCCTCCCACAGGTATCAGCACCCCCATGTGTATCTGGCTGCTGGTCTTCCTCACTGACAGAAGTCACTCAGTGAGAGTAGGAAACAGGATCTTAAGCTCCACCTGTCTCTCCATTGGCTCCCATCACAGCTGTTTACTGAGCCAACTCCAGTTCATGCTGCTGACACATGACTGCAGCGCTGCATCTTCATCTAATCGCATGATTAGGAACGCAGATGACACAACGGTGATGGGTTTCATTATGGACAACACAGATCTGTCCTATAGATGATGTGAAACGACCGGTGCGGTGTCAACAATCTAATCCTGAATGTCAAGAAGATCAAAGAGTTGATCATCAACCTCAGGACAAAACAGTCCAGTCATTTTCCACTAATGATTGACAACAGTGACAACAGTGGAGGTAGTCAGCAGTGTCAACTTTCTAGGGCTACAGATAACTAAGAAGTTAGACTGGTCACCAAACACATCAGCACTGGTTAAACAGTCTCAGCCGTGTCTGCACTTCCTGTGTCAGATGAGGAGAGCACACCTTTCTCCTCCATCATCTTCACTTTCTACTGAGGCAGCATCAAAAGTGTGCTGAGAAGCTGTGTCTCCATCTGGTTTGACAGCCTCAAGGCCTCACAGACAATCATCGGGACTTCTCCTCCATCCACCCTGGATGTCGAGCACAAATGCTGTTTCAGCAGAGTCACATTACATCATCACAGACTCCGCCCACCCCCACCATGCACTGTTCTACCTGCTGCCCTCTGGAAAGAGGTTTAGCAGCATCAGGACCAGGACAGCCAGATGTTACAATAGTTTCATTCTCCAACCACCAGCACACCAACCACCCACCCTGACTGCCTCCCCTTAATAAAATATTTCATAATCCTAATATTATATTTCATTCCCTATATTCTTACACATTTATTATAGACTCTTTTTTATATTTTAAACATTTAGACTTCTTTTTATTGATTTATTTATATTCTACAATCTGATGATGAGCAAATGCACCAGAAATTCATTCTGATGTGCACCAACTATTCTGAATGACGATAAATTTAGTATTTTTGAAATTTTGATGAATGAAAATAGGTTTTGCTTACTTCACTTAACCGAGTCTTCATAGAATAAAGTTTTACAAGTTGAACAACTGACTATTTAAACATGAATCATTGACATAACAGACATCAAGTTTCTCCATGATGAAGCGCTTTGACCTCAACCACTCCTCAGTTACATGTTGATCAACTTCTGGATTAGTTTTGATTGGATCATCTCCGCATCCCAAACCCAAACATAATCCACAACTGCTCTGGGAATCCTGTTGTCAGAGATCAGTTTGTGTTCTTCCTTTTTGTAAATGGAATTCATCACAGCTGTAAAAACTACAGTCACTAAACCTGGAAGACAGATTTAAAGTTTTGGTCCTGTAATATTAGTATGATTTCTATAGAGCAAAATATAAAGTTCAGTGATTAAAAGATTAAAGGTTTATCACAGGACTTCATCAGATGCTGTTAGAATGATGAGAAAATAAAAGAAATGCAGGAACACAGACTGGCTGCTCAGAAGTTTATTCTGAAAGGAAAAAGAACCAAGTCTGTGTGAACTCCGAGTCACTTGTTAAAATAACCCCAAAGTAAGAGGAAGTAACAACAGTAAGTATGGAGATAAGAAATAAACCTAACAGAGCAGAATTCTTAAATCGTAGTATTTAAATAGTAGATGGGTAAGTTGCTATGGCTAGAGGAAAAGAAATTCAAGGATGTTGGAAAGAAAATTTACCTTTTGCAAACAAACCAAAGGACATCTAAGGTGAGTGTAAGATGATGAATGTAAGGATTCCCAATAAATAGACTTTAGCTATTATTCAGACGAACCTCCAGTGCACCTGACTCAAACAGCTTCTTCTCCACATAGTCTTCATATACAGTGGCTTGCAAAAGTATTCGGCCCCCTTGAACTTCTCCACATTTTGTCACATTACAGCCACAAA